CAGCAAATGATGCCATGTTTTCATGGGCTGGTCACTACAAGTGTGAGGCAGGGATGTCCTTGTTGGTACAATGAAAAAAATGTTTACCTCTATTCTCCATTGACCTGATAATTAGGACATGTCTATATGCAGATATTTAAAAGCGAAACTACTGTGCATATGTAATATGTAACAACAAATCCCATCATTTGTACAACTGCAATGCACCAAAAAAAAAAAAAAAAGAAGTGAAAGAGAAAAAAATCCAATTCATTGAGAACCCAACTTACAATAAATACATAAATAAAAGCTAAAAATAAAAAGTGAAACCAACAGTTTTATTACCCTTGTAGCATCTGGCAAGTGGCTGTGTGCAAGACTGTTTTATGATATATGTGAAAAGCAACATGCTACAGTGGCATTCTTTGTTATTAAAAGCTTAAAAGATGCAACTGGTTCTCAATAACACAGGCCTCATTGGTTAAAAGGTTAATTCCAGTAAGGCTGAAGAGGCTGCCCCTTCTCAGAGAAAATACTAAAGGACAGAATTTACTACGTTCAGCAGAGTCTCATTAGGTACCCTGAATAAATAATCTCATTAAGAACATATCATAGAGTAGAGCATTGCTGTTGAAATAATGTCAAAAGAGCAAAATGAAGAAGGACTTAGAAATCTGGAAGCAATGCTTCTAACTCACACTTTCCATAATATATAGTTATTTATCTACAAAGACCCCCAAGAGGCTAAATGTTCAACCTGGTAAGAGGCCTGGTTTCATTAACTTTTAAAAACACCTTCATATCTATGTTCTTGTATTTTATAAACAAATCTCTGAGTTCTGTAGGGCATATTCTAACCTGGTTAGAAAGAGAAAGAACTAAAGCCCAGCAATGGAAATATTACATGCAGGAGTGGCTACTTAGGGGCACTTTTACTTTTTAGCTGGGTGGTGAGTTGCTGGAGCTCTCTAAGCCTCAGTTAACTGATCTGTAAATTGGGGATGACATTAGTACCCCATTGAGTTGTCATGAGGTTAGGTAGAATAGTTTGCAAGTAAAGCAAATGAGGTTAGGTAGAATAATGTACAAATAAAGTGCTTATTTTGGAAAACACTTTAAAAGGTTGTCATTTTTATTTCCATATCGTGGATACTGACTTCGACTGACTTTTTATCATTAGAAGAATTCTACACATTAGTGAATTCTACATAGTATGTCTATCTCTGTCTCTCTCTCTCTCTCTCTCTCTTAAAATCTAACTAGGGATTTAACCCATAGGGCATTTTACCATGGAGATACATCCCTAGCCTTTGTTATTTTTTATTTTGAGACAGGGCCTCTCTGAATCACTCAGACTGGCCGTGAACTTGGGATCCTCCTGCCTCAGCATCCCATGTCATTGGGATTACAGGTGTGTACCACTGTGCTGGCTTCCACACAGTCTTTTACTGTAATCTTAGGCTGCATTAATTCCTCCCTGCTGGGTATTCTTTCTTATTCTTTACAAATCTTCCCAGAGACACATTTATCTATATGTCCGAGCAGACCCAATTTCATTTCAGCCTTGAGGGCTATGCTTTTTCCATTTTGTACTCCAAACCCAAAAGCACACTATAGTGGGATTTATCAAATTTGGGGGAAAGTTTAAAATTTGAAGAGGGCTGGGATTGTAGCTGAGTGACAGAGCACTTGCCTGGCATGTGTGAAGTATGGATTTGATCCTTAGCACCACATAAAAAAAATTTAAAAAAGAAAGGCATGCTGTCCATCTACAACTACAAAAAAAAAAAAAAAAAGGATTGATTGAAGAGCTCTGCTGTTCTTTTTTCTTACCAGACTTTCCATATAGAATTCTAAGCTTAGGGTACTTCAAAATATATATGATTAAAATTAATACCATATAACTAAAATAGGAAACTTCCTAATAAATTAAATATCAGTTAACATGAGGTAACTTTCTTTAATAAAGCATTATGTTAAAGCAGTAACCAAGTTAAATGAAATGGCATACCTGTATCCCCAAATCTCTACCTATCACATCCCAAGATACTCAATTATTAATTCTCTCCTGAATTTGAATATAAATGCACAGAAATATAACATTATTATTTTAGTAAGCCTCCCCTCAGGGGTTATTTAGAAATACAACCAATGAGAAAATAGAAATAATGTATATTATATTATTCAATATATTATATATTGAAAAAATTCCTTATCTACATTTTAAAAGGTGATATTCCAAATAAGAAGCATAGAATATGCTGACATAAAAACTTTCAAATAGGAAGAAAGAGTGGATTGCCTATCTTTGGAATTTGAAGCTTTGATATTGGACAATATGGTGTTGCAGCGAAAGACCTGGACCAGGAGATGGGAAACTTGAATTTTTGAGTATGCTTTGTTATTTACTAGCCAAGTGACTTGGATTAGACATTCAATTCCTTTGAGCCTCAAGTCTCATTTCTTAAAATAAGGAAGTTGGATCTGATAGTCTTCAAGTTTCCTTCCAGATATACAATTTCACATTAGTCAACATTCAGTTCACTTTTAGGAACAATTACCAGTGCCTGCTATTTGAAAGCACCGTACTAGGTACTAGGGAAATGAAAAGATAAATATAGCAAGTTTGTTGACCTCAAAAGTATATAATATGGGCTGGGGGTACAGCTCAGTTGGTAGAGTGCTTGCCTTGCATGCACAAGGGTCCTGGGTTCAATCTCCAGTGCCACACACAAAAAGTACAGAATCTTGTGGATTATTAAAATGACCAGGTAATATTTGCAGGGAATTATATAGTCATTTTATTATACTGTTTCATTATTCATAAAACATGTGGGGCAGTGAAACTCAGCAGACTAAGAATGAGCTTTGCCTCTCAATCCTCAGGCTGTACCTGATGTACCTCAAAGATCTGGCTAAATTACTCTAAGTCTGTATTTTATTTGAAAATAATTATACTGGCTCAACTGAAAGGTATGTTGAGAAATAGCAAAGGTTGTCCATTCTGTACGTTTTTATGGATACCATTTATGCTTCAAAGGAGTGCTAAGAGCTAGGAAAATATCAGCTGGCAGGTCCTTCATATAGCTTAACCAGTATACAATTATAAAGTTTGCTGCAAATAAGTCAATATAGTAACTGCTAAAACAAGTTATGGGCTTATTTTAGTTTAGAAGTGTCAAGAAGCAAGCCCTTTTCTTTGCAAAATATTATGTCTCAGCCTTGAAACACCATGATAAATAGTAAAACAAACACAAAATTTAAACACATATAAATATTACACTTACCAAAAATTAGGACTTACATAAAATATATATGTTTTATTCTCCGTGTGTATATTAGGCTAAAACAAACAGGATAAATAATGCAGGAGCAGCATGCCTGCTCAGATTAAGGATAGGTTTTGTTGTCCAACAAGAAACTATCTCAGAATCCAGAGTTACTCATCTCTGTGGGGCCTAGCTGAAGTTCTATCATATATAGAGATGCTCTATGAAAGATTCTTGTCTTAAGGAGGAACCTTAAGTAATAACTTCAAGTAAAATTCTGAGATTCTGTGATTAAGCAAAGTATCTGAATGACAATGAAAGAGATAAAATCATAAGAATGCCATTGATTAAAAAGAAATTAAGAATTAAGAGGGACGAAGCGTATGACAAGGAGAGTTATGTGGGCAATAGAAACTGGTTTGCTTGAGCCCTACTTCAAATATCTTGTTTTTGGCCTAACACTTATGTCCTGACTCGAAACCTACATTTCAGAAACCCGCAACAAAAGTCTGGCCTGTAGAAATCAAAACGACTGCCGCTTTGTACCTGTCATTTGTGGTGTCATCCATGCTCTGTGGCGGGATCTGCAAGATGCCTGGGCTGTCTTTGGCAGCATTTAGGAATCTGGGGAAAATGGTGTGTGTGACTTGGGGATGGGGGTGGGCGGTTGTCTGTGAATGTCTCGAAATATTATTCTGTTACCACAATGTGGTGTGGTGAACTGGTTTCAAGAGTTGGGAAAACGTCGAAATTCATACGAATGGTGCAAATTTTTGATTTAGGAAACAAGGATCAGAATTCATCTCAATTAACGCCTCCCTCTGCCAAACTGCCAGTTTCGTTTTCTGGATGGCCTCTCCGCGTCAATGACTTAGGTTTTCTTAGATGAGTAACTTGTCTTTCGTGGGTTGGCGATCTGCCCCTGGACTTGCCCATGTGCCAACCTGACCTCGGAGCAGAGTGGCCCTGGATTTGGTGCACGTTGTCTGGAACATGCGAACGTTTCTGACGGACAATGCCTGTAGCATTCGAAGCGTTTTAAACAGTCCATTTGTGAGGAAGGGGGTAAAGGTGCGTTGACTTTGGAAAAGAAGTGCATTTTGCGAAAGTGGAAAGAAGATAGCTCGTTGTCGGAGAGATGGGTGTTTCCAGCAAAGGATTTGCTAGAAATGAAGACGCGGCAATTCTTTTTCCAGTTTCCTGCGGTAGGAAACAGCTGGCCAGAGAAGTCCCAGTCCAAGTTGGGCGCGGACTGGGCTTGCAGAGAGCTGCTGTAAGGCGTGCGGGACAAGTGGTGGGAGACTGGAACGAGAAGCGCTGGGCGCTAGGGATGTAGGGGCTTCGCTACTCTAAGCAACGGGATTCAACGTCCCGCAACTGCGCTTCCCCTTCTCAGTTCTTAGGGGAACACTTCGCGTGCTTTGTTTCAGACGCCAACCCATCTTTCTCGGTTGGTCTCCAGCTCCACCAATCCTGCCCGCCTCAGGGCGGGGCTTCAGGGTCAAGGTGGACCAATTCCCCAGCCTCGCCCCTACACGCGCTTTCGGACCCCCGGGGATGACTGACAGCAGTCAGGCCCAACCTGCTACTCCAAAGCGGGGCCTCCGCCAGGGGCGTTACGGGGACGAGGGGCCCGGACCAATCGTATTGGACATCAGGGGGCGGGGCCTCGTTGCCAGCTCCAGACCGGCACTATCGGCACACCCTTTGTCAAATGAGAGACGAAGAGGGGAGGTCCCTTGGTCTCGGCTCAGCCAATGAAGAGGGCGAGATGGGCGGGTCCGGAGTGCCTGGCGGCGGGTCCTCAGCTCTGAGCCGAGGTGCGGTGAGCCGGTGGGGGGACCGCGAGGCGAGCGCGGGAGCCTGGGCGGCGAGCGGGGTGTGAGCTGCCCGAAAATGCACTCGGATGCCGCAGCTGTCAGTGAGTAGTGGAGAGCCAACAGGCCGGCCCGAGCTATTGCCAGCACTCTCCACTAAGCTCCCTCTGTTCTCGCCCCACGCCTCCTGTCCCGAAAAGCGCCGGGAGCCCCTGACAGATAGCCACCCCTTCCCCTCCTGGGGCTCGGGCGGGCGGTGACGCCGCGGGCGGCGTGGGGCGGGGGCGGGCGTGGGGGGAAGGGGACGGCCTGCCGGGGGCGGGAGGAGGTGAGGGGGGGGGGGACTGGCTCCATTTCAATGTTGGGGGAAGCGGGGGCGGGACGTGCGATGAAGGGCCCGGACCCGAGTGTCCGGGGTGAATGGAGGTGGAGGCTGTGGCGGCGGGCGCTAGCGGGCAGGGCCGGGGGTGGCACCAGCGGGGGAGAGGGAGGGAGCGAGAGAGCGGGGCGCAGGGGTGAGGATTTCCAAGGGGCTGAGCGGTGCGGGTGGCTCCGTGAGAAAGGCGGGTGAGTGCGAGGGGAGCGCGGGGGCGGGGACAATGGGAAGAAGGGCTGAATGGCGAGGGTGGGGGGAACAATGGGGTGGGGGAACGGGGGCAGTGGCCGTGCGGGGCAGGAGGGCGGGCTAGGGACGAAGGCTGATGTAACGGGAGAACGAGATAGTGGGAAGCATTGGGGTGTGATGGAATAGTTGGGGAGTCCGGCGGGCGGGAGGGGCACTGGAAGGGTGGTTGGGTAACTAAGAGTGGTAAGGGTTTGGGGGGTTGGTGTTGGGACGGTAGGGTTATCGGGAGGAAGAGAGGAACGTGGGGAGGATGTGGGGTGGGAGGGTGGGGGCAGGGGTGGGGGCGGTGAGGTGGGGGTGAAGAGCTAGTTAGGAAGGGGAGGTAGGGAGGGGTTGGGGAGGGGGAGTACTGTCACGTCCAGATTCGGTTCGCGCCGGGCCGGGGCGGGGGGCGTCGGACTGTGTGTTTGGGAGGGGTGCTTCTTCCCCCTTGTCGAGCCAGGGTCCTTTTGAGGGGGGAGCCCAGAGCCTCGGGGCAAGCGGAGAGCAGGGGGCGGGGCTGGGGTGGAGGGGACGGGGGAGGTGTCCCGAGGTTGGCTCTGGCCACGGTTCTCCCGGAGCGGCGGGAAGCGAGGTCAGCGTTGGCGCGGGCTCGGGCTACAGGACTGGGAGGCGGGGCAGGGGCGCGGGCTGCGGGTTTTCCGCGGCGGTAGCCGGAGGGGTCGGGCCCTGGAGGCCGGGCGAGGGTTTTGCGCAGGGGAGGTGTCGGGGTCCCTGGCGGTCCGTGGGTTTGGCAGTCTGTGACGCAGTTGTCTAATTTGTGGCCATCAGGTGTGGAGGCTGATGTCTTGGGACCTGCTTCCCTGGAGAGAGGGTCGAGCTGGAGGCCGGGCTCAGCTTCTGGGGAGCGCGACCTCACCCCCAGCGCGGGGCGGGCGCTTAGGGGTTTCCTTTAGGGTCTGGCTTCAGTCGCCGGGTGTGAAGGGGAAAGGCAGTCTCGCGGAATTCTGGGACTTGTAGTCCGGGCCGCGCCGGGCCGTGGTTGGGTTGGGTGCACGTGGGTAACTGTGGAAACGAGTCCCAGAATGCAGCGCGCCCCTCAGAGCCTCTCCGCTCTGCTAACTCGTGCTTTATTCCCCCAGCGACCCGAGCACGCTCTCGGGAGGCGCTCCAGTCCCTGGGGACTGTATTGGCCGAAGAGAGAGAGAGCCCAAGCCAAGCCCAGTCCTTTTTTACTTGGGCTCTTGATCTCCGAGAGTTTATTTTCCCCTTGTAGAATAAATGCTTAGTCTAGAACCATCTAGCATATAGGTTCAAGAAGCAACGCAAGGCAGCGTTTAGGAAGGTGTGTTTCTCCGCATCTTGTATGTAAGCTAGCCTAGGTTGAAAGGCGCAGTCTTATATAAACCTGGGAACACAGTAGAGACAGTTGTATGTATCGCTTATGAAGACGATATAAACTATTTGTTATTTCTTGGGCTATTTTGATTGCCCAAGGATAAGGGGAATTTTTGAATTGAATTGAGTGATGGAGGTGGCTTAATGGAATTTGGGTTGGAATTGTCCCATTCATAAAGCTAGAAGAAAATATGAAAGTGAGTAAAGGTGATATGTGATGTCTTCATCTTTCAGTAAGTGTGGAAAACAAATGAGTGTTGTTTGTTTCCTTTTTAGCTGTGGGCTGAATTCCTTCAGTCTTTAGTATTAAAAACGTTCCTCTCAGTTTGTAGATACCCAACCATAACATCTTCTGCCAGTTCCCTTTACAGTGGTAACTCCCAAATCTAATGTAGAGGTTAGGAAGATGAGGTAGAAATAATAGATTATTTTTGTGATATGTCAGCTAATATGAAACTATTGGTAACAGTCATTAGGTATTTTAATGATCCTAGTGAATAAAATTTATACAAGAAATCCTAAGGTTTGGAAACCTTTTGATATAGTTATAAATATACTCAAGTTGCATATTTACTGCATGATGGTTCTTTAAATGTCTAAAAAGGTCAGTGTGTGAAATAATGAGTATCTTTCTGTCATATTTGATTTAAGTCTGTGGTTAAAATGTCCAAAAAATCCTTTGAAATATGTAAATGTATAATACAGACGTTTTTCAAAAACATGCATTTAATTCTGGGATTTACTCTTGCAAAGAGGTTGAAAATATATAGAGCTATCTATAATTGTTTTCAAGATTTAAAGAAAATATTAGTCTAGTCGTTTCTACCTTTTTCTTTGGTTCTAGTATATCTCAAAGGAGAAGTGCCCATTGCACATGCTTAACTCCTGTCTCTAGCCCTAAAGGCCTGAACTCTTGCACAATATCAGCTTATACTTTCTGCTCTGGTTTTTAGGATCCTCTTTGATTTTGGTTCCTTGGAAAGGTCCTTTTTTTTTCTTGTGAATTTACTCTGCATTTAAACAGGTGTTTCTTATACCTTACTTAGCAGTTTTGACAGTTTTAGAATGGGAAGCTTTTTAGGTAATTTTATCTGTAACAGAAACAGAGAAGAAAGTTCCCTCATTCTCTCTACCTTAGAGGACTTCTGTATACTTACTTACTCTTTATTCTTTATTCCTGGCTCCAAGATGTGCCTCTACTGGACTTGATCAGATCATTTTTTCAAACTTTATTATTGTCTCCTTTTCTGCTTTTATCTTACCTACTTATTGCAGCTCTTACTAACATATTGCCTTCTTCCTGTGTATGATATATGTTTGCATTTTTCTCATCTTAATAATAATCATCCTCCTGATAATTTTAGCTAATAATTAATGTTTAATGATCCTGTTAACTCAGCAGTATAAAAATCAAGTTTGTCAGAAACTGACCTTCTGATAGTTTATATTGTCAGGTAGGGTGCTTTTGGCAAGCAGCAACACTCAACTAAAAATGGCTTAAATAATAGGGCTTATTATTGTCCAGTAGCAGGAAGTATAGAAATAGGTGTTTCTTAGACTGATGCAGTGGCTTAACATTGTCATTAAGAATGGGGCTCTTTGTGCTTCTCAGAGTCTTCCCAGCACTTAGTATCACAACTCAGCCCTGGGTTCTTTACTCAGCTCCAGATAGAGATCATGAAGAGGCCAGTAAAGAAAACCATCTGAGCTTTATTATTGCTTATTCTTAAGCAGAAGGGAAATGGAAAACAGCATTGGGCCTGTGGCATGCTCTCCAAGGACTTGAGGGGTAAAGCTTGAAGGACAAAAAGAGTGGGCTCCTGCAGGCACACATGATGCCACTATTTCTGCACACATCTTGTCAGGTTTTTAACTTAGCATGGGTTTGCATTTGATATAGTGATGTGCTCATGTGTGTTTGGCCTGTCTGCATTAAACTCACAAAAGACCATGGAAGTAGGTGCTCACTACCACCAGCCCATAAAGGTTGTATATATTGGCAGGCTTTCTATGGCGGGGTGTTGCAGAAAGCTTGGGGGAGGAGTAGCAGCTCCCAATCCTGGTCATTTGTAGAAACATCTTTTGAAGGCAGCTTACTGATGGGGGTGGGGGTGGTTCCTAGAGGTGTGGGGGGCATTGTTGAGGGCCTTTTTTTGTCTCTTTTGCATCATTTCTTCTTATGTATTTTGACTTTTGATCCAAGCTCTTTGCCTCACATTTGCAATATGATTGCTGCAGCACCAGACATCATGCTTATGTAAGAAAGAAGGGAAGGAAGGAGCATATTTCCTTAAAGTTCCCTGTTAGGGCTTTTTTTCCCCAAAAGCTCGCCCTGGAGACTTTTGTTCCAGTGTCATTGGTCGAACGATTTCATGCTACTCCTAGTTGTGAGGGAGGCAGAGAAAGTAAAGACTGGCATTTTTCAGCTTCTATGATAGAATGTGGCTTTTGCTAGATTGGAGTAATGGTGCTCAGATGGCTCTGGATTGGCAACAGGTACACGTCTAAGCCAACTACTTAACAAGGTTCTCTCTGGCTTGGTCTCATTTTTTTTTAATCTTCCTGATGTATTTTCTGCTTTATTCTAAAAGAATTAGGGATGACTTACAAAATATTAAATCCTATCAAGTGAAGGAAAATAAATTGCATATGGACTTAAAAGGTGCACTAAAATTCTTGCTGTCTGTTGGAAGTAGACTATGTATCTGGCTCTGAGCTTCCCAGTAGTCAAAGAGGATACCAAAACCAATTAATTTTGTTCATTTGGTTAATGAAACTGCAGTAACTTTTATTAACGCACACTGTAACCTTAGTTAGGCATTTCTTTATCCTCTCTTTCCCTGGCCAGTAGTGAGAAGGAGAGGATGCTTCTTCCTGCACCTATGGCCATTACCTTTGGTCTGACCCATTTTTCGGTTGTGATAATCAGTTGTACCTTTGTCAGGCTCAACCTCTGTCTTCTCTATTACCATTTGAGTGATCTTTGTGCTTAGGATTCCCCCTGCCTACTTGAGAAACTTGGAGTCTCCCAGCTGCTTAGTTAAATATGGACTCTGGTGTGGATGAACAGCCTCTGCTGACTGCCCTCGGTTGCTGCTATGGAGCTGCTTTACCTTGCCCTCTCTTTCATGGACTCTCGCC